TTAATTAGATCTAAAATATAATTTTAAAAAAGTTAATAAAGGTGACTGAAAAATCCAATCTGACACAGGCTTTTTAATATCTCACTCTCTGAGCTCTTGCTTGTATGACACCCAAACCCATCTGAAAGTTTTATCTCACACAGCTGCTATTATGAAAACTCAAAAAAGGGGGGGAGGGGCATGAATTCAATGCTTTTCCTTTGTGCTGTCAAAACAATCTATAAATGTACACATATCACTGTATCTAAAAACTTGGCTACAACCCGTTAATCTGATGACAAATTAGTGTTAATAACCTTGTGTTAAAAATAAAAACCATTCAATGTATTTCTCCCTTTTTCAAAAGCGAAGGGGAAAAACAATAGTTCTAGTTAGAACTATTGAGCTTCTTCTTCTTTAACTAAACACAGACATGACCACAAACCTTAGGTATAGCAACTCCATTTTGAACAAAGCCATTGCTTAAGATATATGCAAATAACTTCATTTTAATCAATGAAGATATCCTATTTCTAAACTTAATGAATCATCTAAGTACACAGCTCACTTCTCTTTTAGGAACCACTTAAGTTCACACATAGTCTCAGAAGATTCTTGCATTTCTTTATCTACCTGAATCATAAAACTAAAAACTCAAAGTGGCAGTCACCTGAAAGTTACTGCTTCAGTATGTTTATTACACCACGGCAAGTATAACCTAAATCTGCAAAATACACACAAAACAGTCGTGTCTCAATTTACTATCCTTCACATTCATAGTTCTTACAAAATGCAACCCGATGTTTTAATTAAATCCATTTACCAAGGATTTAAAAATGAAAAGACTGGCTCCTGTCCAATAATTAACTAGAAAAAGGAGTTGGTAAAAATTGTTGCAAAAACAAAAGGATACTTGAATTAAGAGTGCTCACCATCCTTTCCCTTTTTTCTGTTTGTTTTTGTAAAAATATAGCTGATTTACAGTACAAACAGTTTCATCTGCCTTTTTATAATCATTTCATAGAGGTATACTGGCTAAGGAAGTCTACTCCCTGATGCTTTCACAGGCTTGAAAGTGCTTAGGAGATTAGTCATATGTAGTTGTACACACAGAGTGAAGAACAACAACAGAAAAGGAAGCAGGCAGAGTAATCTGAATTTAACTAGTTCCATTCTCTATTTGTTAATACAAGCATCACATAATATTTGTTTTGGGAAAGCAAATGATATATAAGCTGTGAAAAGGCAGAAGCACATTTAGACTTTACACTTCCTAGACTCTACAGGAACAAAGCTCTCTCACTGAGGGCACTAGCATCATACAATTTTAGAGCAGGAAGGAATTTCCCCGCGAGCCATTAATAACTCCACTGGAGTGTAGGCTCCTGAAAGCCACCCACAAGAAACCCCACCAGTGGGAGCAGAGAAACTGTTAGTCATCTTCTATGCTGATTGTAAAATGAACATTTTGGGTTCATTTAACCATATGGATTTAAATTGGAAAGCGTTTTGGTTTTGTTTTTAATCTGTTTCTGAGGTATAATTCTGGCATTGCCACATAACATACATCTGGGGAAGGCTGCAAATAAATTCCTTTGTACTTTTATGACAGTATCCTCCATAACATACAACAAAAATCCCTGGCCTATTTACGTTTGTTAGTGGTGTATTTTTAATGATGCATAAACCTGAATGTAAAACTCTATTTTATTTGTCTGAGATTTGAGGGTAAGTGGCTAGAAATGAACTAGGCCTTCAGACAAATAACTTTCACTCATGCAAATATTAAGCCAATTTAGATACTGTAGAACCATATGGAAAGTTCAGGGCAAATACAACAAGAGTCCTTGGATGAGCAGCCAGAGCAATCTCTCTTGACGGACTCATCTAGAACCTTGCTGCTCACACTGTGGCTAAGGGCCCCGCTGCATCTGGGTCAACTGAGAGCCTGTTAGCAACGCACAATGTCAGGGCCCAACCCCAGCCCTCCTGAATTAAAATCTGTACTTCAATAAGACACACACCCGAAAGCATTTGTGACCAGATTACTTGTGAGAAGAAGCAGTGATCTAGAAATTGCTGGCCGAATGCTTCATAATGGCAGGAATGTTGTCCATACTGTTCGCTGTGACATCTCCAGTCCCGAGGACAATACCTGGCCCACATGGACACTAGACAATTATTTGTTGAATAAATCCATATGTAAAGATTTCTTATATAGTATTTTCTACGTTGCACTGTAATCGTGTGTACAAAATTCTTATTTTTGCACAGAATGGCAAGTTCCTTAAGGGTACAGATGCTCTCTTATTCATCTCTGAATCTGCTGCATGCCTCCCAGCATCTGCACACATCACTCAAATATTTTATCAATTATGATTTGTAGATACTCAATAGAGGGATATATTATTACTGTTAGGTATTAGATGTGCTAGCTTTGGCTTTAATGTGAAAACTTTGGAAAAGTAAGTTAAAACCAGTATATAATTCCTGAAATCACCCACTTGGTTTTGGCTTTAAATATAGTGAAGAGGATTCACCCAAGGACTCAAAATAATAACAGAAAATATTATGTTGTAAATGCTATGGAAATATTATATAGGGCCAAGTCCTGACTCTACATGGTACCACAGACCAGGGATGGCATGGGTGATTGAAATCCAAAATTGATTTCAAAACCTCATGTTATTCAATGGCCTCAAAGTCTTTTCTCATCAAATTTCATACTGAACCTGCTATACGTTTCAGAAATGGCATTTTTTAGTTTTATTTTCTTTCTCAAATCCATCTACCAGCCCTAACCAGTTTGGCTCAGTGGATAGAGCATTGGCCTGGGGACTGAAGGGTCCCAGGTTCAATTCCAGTCAAGGGCATGTACCTTGGTTGCCAGCACATCCCCAGTAGGGGGTGTGCAAGAGGCAGCTGATCAATGTTTCTCTCCCGTTGACGTTTCTAACTCTCTATCCCTCTTCCTTCCTCTCTGTAAAAAAAATTCAATAAAATATATTTTTTAAAAATCCATCTACCAGTAGACAAACCCAAAGACAGTGAAGTAGCCAAAGCCATCCAAAGAACAAGATAGTGATAGAGAGCTACACAATAAATGAACTAAGTGATTAGTCCACAAATAGCCAGATATACACAAAAATCTAGAGCTAAGTGAAGAAATAATTTATAAGAGATCATTATGGGGGGTTGGGGATGAGAGGGGCCTAATACATGGTGACAGAAGATGATTTGATCTTGGGTGGTGGGCACACAGTACAATATACAGATCTTGTATCATAGAAATCTACACCTGAAACCTATGTGATCCTATTAACCAATGTGACCCCAATAAATTTTTAAAGAGATAATTGTAAGAAATAATCAGAAACATTAATAGCATAGAAGTGTTGATAACAAGACCATTCCAAAATAATACTCAAAATAATGAGATATTCAGAGTCATAAATGTTGCTGATTCTCTTGGTCCATATTAACAGGATACTAAAGCAAGGACCCCCTCGCTCACCAAAAAGAACTGCTTTTTTTTCTTTTTAATTAACTAAGGTAGGTTGTCCTTTATTCATTTTTCCCATATATGTATTCATACAAAGTACCCTCTGTACACATAGATGCACCCCACACACACATATACACATACACACTGTCATGCTGTTGTTTTCCCAAGAGTACAGTTGACAATGGTGATAGCAGTGTGTGTAATTAGTTCTCATTGTTTCCCTGACAGCTACAGTTCCATACAAGACCCTTTTCTTTTTAGTTGTAAATGCTATAGGGAAAAATATACTAATAACAGGCATTTAATTATGGGTCCAGCAAACACAATGGGAATATCTCCAAAAGAGACTTGAACCTCCAGGACAGCTAAAACATATATTTGCAGAGCGGGAAAAGTTTTGTTCTTCAATTACAGTAATGCTCAAAATATTAATGACAGGCATATGATAGAAACATTTTTTTAAATATCTCCCCGAGACTCTATCAACAATAAAAACATGTCTACAGGATTACATCAATACTAGAACCAAGGATACTACTGTATCTGTATTAAAATGTTAATAAGAAAAAAAGCATTGCTTATTAATAAGGGAAGTAGTCCTTAGAACAGCTTTATGCTTTGATACTATCAATGAAGAGTACAAAGTTTCCGTTTTTTACTTTGCTTTGCACAGACTTAAAAAAAAAATAGTACGTGTGATATCAAATATCTGGGTGCTACATTCCTTGAGGCTTACTTTAATTTGTTTTATACAGTATTTAAAATAAAGCATTCCCGAATGCTGTCATGGCGGACACCAGATCTGTCACCAAGGTCCTTTCTCGCCTGATTAATTAGTAACTGGGAGACACATTTTGGCAGCTTTCATTTCCCTATTATTTTCTCTAGTTTGACACAAAACCCTGTCCGAAGCACCACTATTTGAACTGTTCCCCTCTTAGTACTGGGTCACTACATTTTAATAAACGGAACCCCTGCCAGAAAACTACCAAAATAGGCATAAAAGTATACTGAAGCTGTAACAGTAAACAAATATATGAAGAAAACACCAAATGCCACCGCATCTAAAACATTAATGGTCTGTCTGAACCCAGGGGTTACTAGCGAGATTGCGGAGCAGAGACTAAAAGAAAAGGCCTTTTATCCGTCTTTAATAAAATACATATATTTATTTATATATATATATATATTAGCTTAATAAAGCTGAACACGTTGGTGCAGCAGAACCATCCATCTGAGCCCTCTCCATCATCCCAACCCAATGAATAAATTTATCGGGAGTCAAAGACTGATCGTGACTACAGGGATACCGCACCCGCCCAGAAGTCACGAAGGCGCTGGCTCAGCCAAACAAACAGTTTTTATAAAAGGTAAGGTGAGGAACTTAAACACTGAAGCTAAAAGGCTGACACTGTGGAGAACTACAAGTCACTACAGAAGCAGTGGCAGGTTCTCCAAGTGTCAGTCACTTCAAAAAAGCATCCTGCTCCCATGGTGGCTCAGGACACTTGTGTGCCAGGGCAGTGGCCGTGCTGTGTGGGTCAGAGGTCACAGCTTCCACATTCCGACATCTGTCTGTATTTTTTCTTGCCCTGAAACAATAGAAGGGGAACTGGGCTCATTTGCTCCCACTTTGTGTAACCTAATTGTTAAACACAAAGGATCATCTCCCCATATTTAGAAATATTCTTCCTTTGTTCCCCATTCCCATTTGTCTCCATAAAATTAAATACTATAAAAGCTTAACCGAAAGGTTAAGTCCTCTACACGTTGTTCAGTAAATGTGACAAAGTCACATATCCAACTGGAGACTATGGAACATGAAATATCAAGTGGCATGCCCACCACCATCAAAATCTAGATAACAATTTGCACTATAATTATCCAACCAAAATAAGCCAGACCTGATTTTATTCCAACCACATTTTAATGAGAAACTAGTTTCATTTGCCTTTATAATGTGTGTTATCACAGAAAAGAGGCAAGAGCTAATTGTTAATTATAGTTTCTACATATACAAATAAGTAACTAATAAAATTTAGAAAGGACACTCTGACAGCTCAGAAGCAGAAAGAAAAAAAAAAAAAAACCACACAAAAGTTTTTGTTAGTTCATTTAAAAACAAGAATGAGCACTCAGTTATTTTCCTCTTTTCCAGGCAAAGAAAATGGATGATGGCTATCAGAGGAAAGCCCTTCAGTACAAAAACTGTCAACTCATACCTTGGACTTTAATAAGGAGCCAATGAGATGTCTATTCATTCTTAAAATGTGGATTTCATTTATCGTTTTCAAACTGTTTCTACAACCACCAAAAATCCTGCTTCCCATGAACAGAAGCAATCTGTGACATAGTGGCATTCAAGCTGTGCCTAGTTTAATCAGGAGGACTGAGTCAGGTTACTGTGAAATTAATCTGAAGGAAGTTCTGTTTTTACTGCAGGACATGGGAATAACGTTTCCAGACATCATCAAACAGATGCAGTAGCAATAAGTGTAGTATAAATTTTGGGTAAAGTTTACTAGGCCACATGTCCTTCCAAATGTACCCAAAAGTATAAAACATGGTGGAAAATATAGCAGGCTCAGTGGATATACTCTTATAAATTTTAATACCAAATATGAATGTACTTCCAAAATAATTTTTTGTAAGAACCCACAAGAACGGTTTAGTGAGAGCCTATAATTCAGAGTCAAAAAGGTTCTGGCTTCATGTTTCTGGAAGCACCCCAAATGCTTCATTTTTAGAGGTACTACATTTCTACCACTATCTCTTACTGAAGAAAGATTCCTGATACCACTGAGCAATTTGAGAGAAAAAAATCAATCAACAAATAAAAAGGACTATTCGTACAGAAAGAGGAATAGGATTTGGGGGGGAGGGGAGGTGGTAATAAGGGCAGTTAATATATTACTTTGAAATTAATTAATAAGTTGTAAACTGCAAAAGAAAATTGCACATGTAAACATGGTACAGCCCAAAATTTAATATTAAAGTGTAATACACCTGAGTTTAAAATATATTATTACTCGGCTAAAACATCCTCTTTTATCAACAATACAAGCAGATAGCATTTGAATGAGCTTACATTACTTAAAGTAGAGCTTTAAATGTAGAGCTTGGCAAAATAATTATAAAGTGGTTTAGTCCTTTTCTAGCGTCCATATTCATTTCCGGACCATTTTCATGAAAGAAAGAAAATCGGTCCTAAAACAAGATGGCTGCTTGGGGGGGGGGGGGGGGGGGGGGGGAAAACCAACACTTATTAATAATATTACCTATTTTCCAATTTCCTTATACAGACCACAAAACCTAGCTTTTCTAAATCGGGAAACAAGGACTTAGTCATATTTCTAATCTCCACAAAGAAACCTATGGATTACACTGTGCAGTTATTTAAAATTGTTAATAGCAAAGCAATTTTGTGAAAGGTCTAATCTTTGTGTACTAAAAACGTGATTGTACAAAAGGTATACAGAGATATCACATGACCAAGATTCCTACTTACATTTTACATCAGAATCACGATCATCAGTCGTGGAAATCAGGTCGCTTGGTCAGTAGTAACAGGAATAATATCGACATATCTCTTAAAGAATCCCATCAAAAATGTCCAATGATAGCCTGTTACAAACACATCAACTGCACGTATTTGGCTTTTTTAAACACCCAGGAACTTAACTGTTAGACACTCTCTCCTTGAACTGCACTTTGCTGACCTTCCCTGAAGCAAATGGAAGATTAATTCTATGACATATACATAAAATTTAAAAACAGTTCCCACATTTTGAAATAATGTTTAAACAGGTTTTTTTTAAATCACTCAAAACTATTTTTATTTCTCACTTGAGTGGAAAATAAGACCTGACAGTAACATTTTCTTCAAGCTGTCAGCTGTCAATTGTATGAAGGATGTTTCTAAAGATGACAAAGGTTTATTTTTCCTTATTGAAAATGATAGAATCCTACCTGAATGAAAGCTGAGCTAACCATCACTGTGGTAAGACAACTGTCTCTCTCAGCAACCAGATAACTTTAACTAGAAGTTTTCACTATTTTTAAAATAATGTTTTTGCTGAAACCTTTGGCTCACTGTTTGAAAACAATATTCAGAAGCCTCAAAAATCAAAAGTTTACATCCACACACATTTCAGAAAACAGTGCAGCGATATCAGTAATTTACAATAAATCCTTTAAAGTACATTAAGGAGTATAAATGATCAAGAATGCTGAGATATAAGGAACTTTTTTCATTTATAGTGAAAATTATGCATAATAGTAATGGCACAGAAACACTTGCGTTATATTATTAGTTCTTAATTTTAAACTAAGCACTTCTGTGTCATTGTGCTGCCTTGGTTATGACTGATGTAATTTTGAAAACGTAAATGCCGACAAATTTAAGGGGAAACAGATCAGGAAGTTAGTAATACCCTATTCAGAAACACTGGAAGTTTAAATTAATCACAAGAAACTTTTCTAACCAAACAATCTCAGGGTATAGTTTGAGAAGTAGACAAAAATACAAACTTAGTAATATTAATCGGGCCTTTAAAAGTGACATTAACTTACTGATGTTTAGCTCCCTAAGACCACCATCGTAAGACACAATACTAAAGTGGATTTTAGTATCTCATTCCTTATACCGCTCTTTGGGATTTTTATACCTAACTATGAAGGTGTGATCTGTCACAAATGGTCAAAAGGCAGTTTTTTGTCAGTTTGGAAGACTGATGCTGACTGGGTATCCAGAGTAAGAGGCCAGTAAGAAGGCCTTACTGTACTTTTCAACAAGGACATTCCAATCAGAGCTGTTTTCATAGTTTGTATACTGTTTCTGAAAAGTTGATACTATATACTCAGTCAACATAGATTTGTTCATTACTAAAAATACAGCTTTTTAAATCATCATTGCTATTCTGTAAGTTATTCAAAACAAGCACAAAAATGAAGAAGGTTGAGTGGCTTCTTTTTAAAAAGCTATTAAGCCAAATATGTATATTGTGGGGAGGAGGTGGGAATACTAAGCAAGAGACCAAATGCTGCCCATATATAAAATTATGGTCTTACCATTTTCTTGTTTTGTTCATTTTATATTTTAATGCAC